GAAGTGGCAAAAGGTAATGATCTGTTCCAGGGCCAAGTTCCCCATTAGACCCCACCAGGGTGTTCTCAGGTTAGATAGTAGATGAAAGTTGCTCCCTGAATATTTGTGGGTTTCTCTTGGTCCTCAGTGTTCACTTGTGTCTGTAACTTCACATGAGGGACAGGATGGGTATTTTTCCCTCATGTCTGACACTGGCTTTAGAAGCTGCAGCACTGTGGGAAGCTCTGCATAGCTCCATCTGGCTGCCCCACCCTGTTGAACTCTCTTCCAGTTAAGCAAGATCTGACTGATACATTCTTTAGAGATGCTGTGATTGTTTTTATGATGAGAACTAAATGGTTTTTCCCATATCACATTACTGTAATTGACTTCACACTCAACTTTGACAAATATTCTTACATACTAAAATGGCACCAGCCGAAACTCTCACAGCAGTTCCTGTACATTTGTGTGGGGATTCAATAGCCTTCTCTTAGTTGAATAAAATAGTATATAAGTAATACAGAGATGATCTAAAATTTCACTCTCCCTAATTTGTAAAATTGATCAAAGCTTTTTATATACAAAAACCGGATTAGATGTTATTTCAGCACAGAACTGGTCAACTTTAACCCCATCCAAGGGTGTGTTTAATTATCAGTTCTTAGAAAGAATATCCACCTGAGGAACTTTTTCCAGCAGGGCTTCTATGGATTCATTTACCTTCAGGGTTTCAGAAATGATAGGTAGATGGTTGTTATTACTCTACATGTTCTAGAAGGCAGAGAAGCAGATGGTGAGGACGTGTTTATCTTGCATCATGGATCCAGCCTGTGGAGGAGCTAGCATGACACCCAGCTCCTTGCTGCAGTGCCTCTGACCCCTTTAGGTCATGTCAAAGGCTTTGTTTTCCAAAGAAGCACAATTAAAATCTTAAGTTTAAATTTTCAAATGGGGTCATCTTTTCCTTTATTTAAAACTGGAATTTCCATCTCTGTCCAAAATCTCATTTCTTTATGGAGAAAGGTCAGCAAAGACAGAGAAAAAGGAATTTACCTAAATCTCACCTAGGTTGAGGAAGCCCTGAGGGTCAAAGCAAACTGAAAGCCCACAGAAAGAATTTGGCTAACAAATGTATTTTGTGAGGTCTCTTTTTATTTAAGTTGGTTGCCAATATTTAGAATTCAGGCAATTTCACATGAAAGACCTGATTTCTGGCATCTCTTGAAAAATTGGAAGATCATTGAAATGTGGAAGCTGCCCCCTTGGCAGCGTCTGCTGTCTTGTATGTGACCTATCTAGCCTTGTGGGAATTTGAATCGTGCCCCGTGTCCTGTCCTACCCCTGCAGCCAGTGTCCTACTGTTTTGTGGCTGGCTATCTTACAGCTTTCCAGAGAGGCCCAGACCGGTGTGAGCAATGGTTACATGGCCACTGGGAAG